AAGTATGGCGATGTCTTAGGTTGCTGTGTTATTTATTCATTTAGGCTGTCACATTATGTAAACTCTAGAAAGATATGCTCTTCAGTTGTACGGTTTTGGTTGGTTAATTTTCCTTTTCGGTATTGATGTATAGTATGGCACACGCAGTTAAACCTATGTGCACATCTGTATCTTTCGTGTTCTCCGCGAAACGAACTCTGTTTCTTTAGTCGTATGGGTTGTTGGTGCGGTTGTTTTGTCTTTTTTTTTTTTTTTTTTTTTTTTTTTTTTTTTTTTTTTTTTTTTTTTTTTTTCCATTTTGGTTGCACATACAGATTTTCAGGGTGGTCTCACTATCACGCATGCACACTCTTTGCTACGCAGGTGCACACTGCGAGTTTGGTGAACTTTGCGTTTAATTGTTAAATTGATTTTTCAGTCTTTGTTGAACATGCCATTGCAAACCCCCACCGGGCCCACACATTTTGGTGGGGAGGTAGCTGAACCACTTGATGGCAATGCAACTGTTGAGGACGAATGCCGAATTGGTTGTGGGCTGCAGTGTGTGACCCTTGTCCAGGTATTGGTCCTTCTTTAATTGTCAGCGTATTGTTTATGTTATGTTGGTTTTTTGTTGATAAATTTGTGTTCGTAGCCGGGTATGCTGCGAAGTGGGTCGGCGTTGGGTGCGCCTGTAAAGGTGAAGCGTCCTCGTGGAGTTGGGGTTGTAGTTCGAGATGGTGGTACGAGTTTGATGTCTAGGTATTTGCCAACTCCCCTCGGGGACCATGTGTTTTACAATTAGGTTCTGGGCCACCCACATGCTAACATGTAAGCCTCTCATTTCTCCGATTTTTAGGTAGTTGATGGTGTTTATTGTGTTTAAATTAATGTTGTGTTGCTTTTCAATTTAGTCATGAGGAACTATAAAACTTCAATGGGTGGGCTGCGACACGTGAGGATATGTTGTCCTTGGCAGTTGGGTCTCAGTTGCGGGTGGCTGTAATTGATGTCTGGTGTTGAATTCTGAACGTTAGAGAGATTTATAGGCCCGAGGGTTCTCCTCGGGGGCTTTTTGCTGGGATTCAAACCACAGTATCTTCCCTTTTGTCCCTTTTGCCTTTTGTGTTAAATATAATGTAGTTAGCTATGTGTTTTAGAATTTTATTGTTTTCTTGTCCATTTCTGTAGCTCAGTACAGTGGTGGAACGAACTCAGTCGCGTGCACGCCGGTTAGACTGGTTCTCCGAGAGGATGGAGGTGGGACTGAAGATGTCTCCTCATGAGTCGTGGCAAGGTGTTGTCATGGTATTCAAAACTGTTTGTTTAAGTTTTTGTATTTGATGTTCATTTGGCGTTTTATAAGTGGTCTTTGGTTGTTATGGTCGTTTGTTTCGTATGTTTCACGTGTGAATTTTATTTTCCCGATTCTACAAAGTGAACACTACTATGTTATTAGTGTGGACATGGTGCAGAAACGAATTGACATAATTGACAATTCCTCGGTTAGCATGACTAATGAGGACAAGTATGGTGGGGCTCCTGAGGTGTTGGTATGTGGTTTTTAATCATTTGTTTTTTTCACCCACGACACATTGTATGTTTATTATGGTAGGTGGTTATCCCGCTGTTCTGTCCAATACGGCTCACACATATTTTCGTAAGTGCACACATGTATCGTATGATGGCTGCTCGGACAGTATGACACGCCCGTGTCTACCTGTGTGCCCACTTGTCTTGACCCTATTGGTGGTTTATCCATCTCATTAAGTTAACCTTGTTTCGTTGTGCTCTTTTTGTGGTTGCAGAAAGATTTGTTGTCTGTGTTCCTTGATGATGAGGTTGATTTGCGATATGGGGCTATTGTTAGGAGGATTATCCCGAGAAGGATGCAGATGCGCTGGCGTGATGCTCGTAACAAAGTGGATTGTGGGGTATTTGCAATGCGACATATGGAGTCTTTTTTGGGCCAATCGATGAATGCATGGGATTGTGGTCTACAGAGGGGTGATACTAGGGGTCTTGAGTTGTTGAGGATGTCTTATATGCGGCAAATTTTGGCGAATGAGACTAATGCTCACCATTCGAAGAACATTCGGAATGTACTCCAATACCATGATCCAATCGAACAAAGATAGTTTATGCTTTATGTTTCTTAGCAACGAGTTGATTAGTAGTTTAGTTTAGTTCACTTGGTTATGTTCGGTGAATATGTTTTTTGTTACCGTGGCCTATTTTAATTTATATTGTTTTTCTGCGTCTATTTTTCCGTTACGAGTGTTGGTTGATTCTGCCGATACATGATGGCACACAAATTGTTAACCTAGTGCACATGAGCTTGAGTGCACCATCCGTGCCATGACACTAGTCAGAACACTTCATGCTTGTACATTAGTTGAACTCATGTGTATACCAACTAAAGTTTGCTCTATAGAACTGTTGTGGCTCAGTCAAAACATACTGGCACATATTGTCCAACATGCGTGCACATCAGGGCATAATTACTACTATACAACACATAATGGCACACAATTTAGTGTTCTTGTGCACACGTGCTAGTATTAACCATTCTTGGTAGTTGCATTTGGTAGAATGACACACACATGTATTCTCGTGTGCAGACTATTATCTCTGTTTCTTGATTAGCATATCGTCCTAGCCCTTCATTTATGAGTGGTGGTTTTTTTGTCCAGTCGTACCGACCACCCTGGCACATGTAGGTTTACGCAAGAGCACAGCAACTATAGTTTTGGCCGTAACGACCGATTTGGCATGGTGTGACCAGAATGGCACATACGGTTGAATGTGCGTGCACATAGGGTATGACTACAACTATACAGCAGTCGTGATGGCACACAAGTTTGGTATCGAGTACACACGTTCTATTATTAACAATTCTTGGTGGTTGCATTTGGCAGATTGGCACACACGTGTGTTCTCGTGTGCACACTATTATCTCTGTTCCTTGATTAGCGTATCAGCCTCGGTCATGTGGGTATGTGCAGTGAATATGTTCCTTATTAGTGTTTTCGTATAGGAATTTTCTGTTTTTCTGGGTGCTTACTCTTCATTTATGAGTGGTGGTTGTTTTGGCCAGTCCCACCGACCACTCTAGCACACCTAGATTTACGCAATAGCACAACAACTGTAGTTTTGGCTTCTTTGGCACGGTCTGGCCAGAATGGCACATACTGTTGACTATGCGTGCACAGAGGGTGTGGCTATAACTATACAACACGTTATGGGGCACAAATTTGGTATCTAGTGCACATGTTCTAGTATTTACAATTCTTGGTGGTTGCATTTGTCATATTGGCACACACGTGTATTCTCGTGTGCACACTATTATCTCTGTTCCTTTATCAGCGTACCAGCCTAGGTCATGTGGGTATGCACGATGAATATGTTCCTTATTAGTGTTTCCGTATAGAATTTTCTATTTTTATGGGTGCTTACTCTTCATTTATGAGTGGTGGTTGTTTTGCCCCGTCCGACCGATCACTCTGGCACACGTAATTTTGTGCAAGAGCACAACAACTTTAGTTTTGGCCGTACCGGCCGCTTTGGCACGGTCTGACTAGAATGGCTCATAATGTTGAATGTGCGTGCACATAGGGTGTGGCTACAACCATATAACACGTTGTGGCACACAAGTTTGGTATCTAGTGCACACAAAACAGTATTAACATTTCTTGGTGCGTGCATTTGGCAGATTGGCACACACGTGTAGTCTCGTGTGCACACTATTATCTCTGTTCCTTGATTAGCGTATCAACCTAGGTCATTTGGGTATGCACGGTGAATATGTTCCTTATTAGTGTTTCCGTATATAATTTTTTATTTTTCTGGGTGCTTACTCTTCATTTATGAGTGGTGATTGTTTTGGCCAGTCCGACCGACCACTCTGGCACACGTAGTTTTGTGCAAGAGCACAATAACTTTAGTTTTGGTCGTCACGTTCGCTTTGGAACGGTCTGACCATAATGGCACATACTGTTGAATGTGCGTGCACATAGGGTGTGCCTACAACCATGCAGCACTTGATGGCACACAAGTTTGGTATCTAGTGCACAAGTTCTAGTAGTAACCATTCTTGGTAGATGTATTTGGCAGAATGGAACACACGTGTATTCTCGTGTGCACACTATTATATGTGTTTCTTGATTAGCGTATCAGCCTCGGTCATGTGGGTATGCGCAGTGAATATGTTCCTTTTTATTCTTTCTGTATTCAAATTTTCTATTTTTCTGGGTGCTTACTCTTCATTTATGAGTGGTGGTTGTTTTGGCCAGTCATACTGACCACTCTAGCAAACGTAGTTTTACGCGATAGCACAACAATTGTAGTTTTGGCCCTAACGACCGCTTTGGCACGGTCTGACCAGAATGGCAAATACTGTTGACTGTGCGCGCACCTAGGGGGTGGCTACAAGTATACAGCACGTGATGGCAAACAAGTTTGGTATCCAGTGCACACGTTCTAGTATTAACAATTCTTGGTGGTTGCATTTGGAAGAATGGCACACACGTGTATTTTCATGTGCACAAACTGTTTAATCGATTGACTCGGTCTGCAATAGCTAATTTAAGACAGATTGAATTAATCAATTCACATGAACACATATATTGCTATGATAAATGGAGTGGGTAGCTAGTTATCTGTACACAAATACATCATTAAAGAATGTGAAGAAAATAATTGGCAGTACATCAGTCAGGCACACGATCCTAGTCTCAAGTGCACAGTTCGGTTATCATACTTGTGACCTGTGGTTTTCGTTCGTAACTCGCAGTTGCGACTATCATGGTGTCCGTATGTGTTGCATGTCCGGCACTTCCTTCCTCCCTTGGTTGCTAGTGTTGATGCAATCTCCTTTGTTGACTTGAAACGCTTACCGAAACCCTTGTTTTTAGCAATTGCAGGGGGTGAACCTTGATGTTCGGTGATGAGGTGGTCCCATAGAAGCCATGTATAATATCACTTTTTGATGCTCTGGTTTCGTCCTGGGGTATGCTTTCTGCTTATTTCTCTCTGTGTGCTTTCTCAGTTATTTTGTCGTTATTACCATATGCATACCCAACACACTTGAAGAACTCATCAAATACGGTCCCCATTCTTGTAGCCCCGTCCACGTGTTCGGTCGAACCATGCTGGTCGGTGTTTGCGTAGATCTGCATGTGAGGCCAGCATGTATTACGTGACCATCGTGGTAAGATATACTGGATCGGTATTCGCTCCAGATTTGCAGCCTTGAATGCCAAGAACACATGTTTGCACTGTAGCCCAATCCTATGGAACATCTTGCATGTGCATTGTACTGTTCTGTTGGTAGAATTGTACTCCACTGAATATGTCGACTTGTTTGTGTCCTCTATATCAAATTTGAGGGTGCATCCTTCATTTGTTTTCTTAACAACTTGGGATGAGAAGCACGCGTCGACTATTTCTTTTTGGACATCATAAAACACTTTGACGGTATATGTTGTGGCAGCTTGACGCTCTAGCAATAATGGTGTTTTCAGCTCTGGGAATTTGCCCTCACATTCTGCGTTTAGTTGCAATTGGTAGTGGCGCTGTTTGTATATTGCTTTCTCGAACTTTGTGAAGAACTCTGATAAACTTAGATGGGGGGAAGTGCATTTGCTGAATACGCTATTCTCCGACTCTGACCTCGATGTTGTTCTGAGTAAGCCACCAATGAACATGCCGTTGAATAATATTGGTATCCATTGTGCACGTATCTCGAACAAGTGGTTAAACCATTTGTGCTCACATAGATTATAGTCCTCCATGACTGTTTGCCAGACTGTTTCAAATTCTTCAATTGTTTGCAACTCATTCCAAACCACGTTGTTTAAGCTTGTTAGGAATCCATCACTCTTAGCTAATGTTGGCCCTACCTTCTCGCAAACCTTTGTCATGATGTGCCACATGCAGTACCTGCGGCGAGTTGTATCAAATACTCTAGCTATTGCAGCTTTCATTGCGGGGTCTTGGTCGATAATTGTGCATGTTGGAACTTTACCCAATGTATTTTTGAAGTGTTCGAGCAGCCAGGTGTAGGAGTCCACATCTTATCGGGCGATTAGTCCTGCTGCAAATGTCACGCTCTTCTTGTGGTGGTCAACCCCGATGAATGGCACAAACACCAATTTGTACCTACAGGCAACAAATCAAGGAGTGGGATAATTTTAGTAGTTAGTTATTTGTTTTAGTAGGGTAAAACCACAAAGCAAAAAATTCTAGGGATGTGCACACAATGTACTACACAAAGGCATAGCATGTTAATCTGCTTTTTGTAACACGGGAGGCACACACTGAGTGCCTGCTGGGCACACATGTGCCTGGTAGCCTTCTGTGGTTGAGGTGTTTTCAAGTAGGGTATTAGGCAGTTGTGTGCCCATTAGGCACTTGCAGGGTGCATCTATGCACACTGGTTTAGTGTACACACCATGATCTACAACGGTGCACACAGCAACCACCACAAATACATACACATTATTTTTTGCGTATCAGTAAAAATTAGAGCATACAGGTGGCGAAGATAGTGGGGGTTACCTGTTTGTACCGTTTGTGGCGTCGAATGACATAGTATCACCGAATAGCTTGAAATTTTGGCTTGCCTGAGGATCCGCCCAAAATATTTGGCACAGTTAGTCTAGCTCGTCAACATCGTGGGCAAAATAGAAGTCAGGTGACGCGTTTTTCTTCTCCATATACTTATCAATCACTAGTTGGGCATCTATGCCTTCTATATATGCCACTATATCTCGTTTGAAATTACCAAAATCTGTTATTGTAGCTCAAACATTCTCAAAACCTCTTACCATCTCTTCGTATAGTATAAAGCTCTTGCGCGACCGATGTTTGCCTTTGAGTAGTTGATGATGAAATTTTGGTGACCAAGGTCAAGTTTTCGATTTGCCTTCATGAATGGTCTTGAAATTGGTGTGCATAATGAATGGGTGTGGCGTTCCCCGATTGAGTTTACCTCAAAACTATCACTATCTAATCTCTTGAATACTATTTTTGCATTGCACCCCACTCTGTTTGTGACACTGCGCCTTTTAATTGTGTTCTTGTGATCAGTTGTCAGTATGCCTACGCCACCCCCCTCGCTAGTAGGAAGTTTGAAGCTTGCACGTGAGCACAACACATACTTCCATGTGATCTTTCCATGCGGGTCCCTTTTCTCGGATGCATGACGCATATCAAACCCAGTACTCTTTGCGTAAGTTTGGTAAAACTGAATTGCAGCTTCCAAACTAGTAAACACCTGACTCGCGAAAGGCTTCTTGGTGGCTTCACACTCTGGAGTCCAGTACTTCGTTGTGCCAGGAGAGATGTTGATAACACAGCATGTTGAGCAGGGTTCATCTATAGAGCAGTGAAAAGTTATTAATACAAAATGTTGGAAACCGATTAGGATCTTAGGTTTGAGCCATTATGCACTCCTATTGTGGGGTATTGACGAGTTTGGCACATTCGAGAACACGTAGAGGCACACACGCCGCATCGGGAGCAGAGATTTCGGTTTCATCCCTAATTGGCACGTATCTGAGCACATAGGTGCACACATGCTACTCTGTAATTGTACATTAAAATTAGCCGGCACCCAGTAGGGGGTGGCGGTTTCCGTCTGTGCACTTTAGTGCCTCAGGGTGTGGCATTCCACTCATCTGTCGGCTTGCATACCAGAATTCAGCAGTCCAAATTCAATTTAATTCAACAATCGGATGACAAACACCGTAATGGGATTTCAGTGGACTTACTTTCGTTGTTGCTTGTTGCCGCCATTGTCTCCGGTGAGTTTCTTGGTCGTTTCACGTAGTTTGCCAGTGTTGGATACACTGTCCGTAATTTGCAGGCGACGGTCGTGACTAGCGCTGGAGTGGATATGGAGATCGTTGAATTAGAGTCCCAATGAATCGTTGAATTAGAGTCCCAGTGAATTCCTTCTTGTTGGCCTAAATTCTAGGGATCTAATCAATTTGATTATTTAAGTCAAAATTATTAGGGGGCTAAAATTACTCTTAAAATCTTTTGAATCTTTTATATTAATGATTAATTGACTTAGGTTCTTATGTTCTCACCTATTGAGTGGTTCCTACTTGAAGGCCACTATATATATATATATATATATATATATATATATATATATATATATATATATATATATATATATATATATATATATATATAGTGAAAGGTTCCCGTGCGGTTTTGCGGTACTTAATGTGCGTGAGTGTTGTGTCTAATGTGCCTGAGATTTGTACTTAATGTGCGAGAGGGGCTTCCCGTGCGATTGTGCATTTAGACTCACATTAAGCATTAATTTAACACACTTTAAATACACAGTACACACACATTCAACACACAAATAAAATACCACCTTCAGCACAACCCTCACGCACCTTAAGCACAAAACTCACGCACCTTAAGTACAAAAACACACGCGCACCTTAAGCACAAACTCACGCACCTTAAGCACAAGACTCACGCACCTTAATCACAAGACTACTCACACACCTTAAGTACAAAACTCACGCATCTTAAGCACAAAACTCATGCACCTTAAGTTTCAACAAATATTATCCTACCTATTATATATATATATATATACTACACATCACACACATATATACTTAATTATTATACAATATATATATTTTACTTACATACATAACTAATATATGTTACATACAAATAATTAATATATTTACATACGTTACACATATAATATAATACATAAGTATGAAAAATATACATATACAATTATATGACCCAAAATAATATGTACACATTTTATATTAAAATAATTATTTTGTATTTCAAAATAATGCACATATACTTATAATGAAAATTATAATTATACATACTTTATTATATATTTATTTATAACAACAATAATAATAATAGGATAAAGATGATGTGATTTTATTTTTAAAAGGCTTCATCAGAAAGGAAATGAGTGATCAATTGAAAAAAAAAAAAGAAAAAAAAAAGAAGAAGAATGTAGAAAACCTAGAAAAAACAGGTATCACACTCTTTGATAGTTTGATTCAAACTAATTGAATTTTTATTTTGAGAAACTGTTATCTAATCAACCAAACTAAATTATACTTTAACTAATTTGATTAATTCGTCCAAATAACTAATTTTTATTATATATAATTTATTTTATATTATATATTTGATACAATCATATTGTAAAAATTATACTACGTTACATTGGATATCTCTTAATGTTCAAATAGTAGACTAATGTCGTTTGGATAGTCATTTGATTAATTTTGAATCAAACTTTGGGATGAAGATTCCATATTGATAGCAGAACAAGCAATTCATAAGAATTGATGTGACAAATTAGTAATTTTTGTTACGAAATTATAGAGCGTCACAAATATTTTTAACAATTTCATCACAAAAAGTGATAATATTAGTGGCAATAATATTTTTTCTCACAATTGTTTCTCATTTCTAATGGTACTAACCAATTTTATTTTTATTGGCAAAAAAATTGTCACAAATATTATAAACAAGAGTGACCAACAACTATTTGTCACAAAAACTACAAACATTTGTGTCCACATTATATTTTGTCACAATTACATTCGTTCCCGCCATAATTATAATGCCGCCAAAATGCACATACATTTAGTGACAACAAATAGTGACAACGTATGTTACGACACTATTATTCTAGTAATAGTGACAACTTATTCGTAACAAATATTTTCTTGTCACAATTACCATACTATCCGTGACAAAAAAAAAAGTTATCACAATTATGAATTATCCCACAGAATAGTGTCGACTTATTTTTTTGGTCACAAAAAGCGTATTATTTGTAACTAAATTATGAAGTGTCACAAAATATTTGTCACTAAATATCTTCATTCTTGTAGTGATTTATCAGCTAATATTTAAAGTTCAAACAAAAATTTACGCAAAATAATGAATCTGTTGTTGAATTAAAAGTGAATAGTTACAAAATGGTATCCGGGACTATGTGGTCTAATGGTATCCGGGTTGGACTTCCATTTGGAAGGTTGTGAGTTCGAGCCTCAGTGGAGGCGTTATTGGTTCTTTGTGTTTCAGTAGGTTGAGAAAGTATATGAACAGATACTACAATGTAATAGAACCAGTAGCATTCAAAAAAAAAAAAAAAAGTGAATAGTTACAAAATTATAAGAAAATTAGTAAATGTGTTAATATCCAATTTAGTCATTCATTATAGTGGTTTTTTCTGATTTAGTCGTAATATAAATGAGTCTTTGTGCTTAATTGAATCTTGGTATACTTTGATAGTTCTATATAATTAATTATATAAAATTATGTCATGTGGTGTGATATGATGTAAATTTAGAAACTCGAAAAATGACTTGAATATTGTGTTTGGATATTCAAGAAAAATAAAGTCAAAAATATTTATTCGGATCAACGAAAAAAGGCTCAATTTAACATAAAATATCTTCTTAGATTTTTAGTGGAAATACATTTTTAGAATTCTTTATTTTCCCGTATTTATCTTCTCTCACATCTTTTTTCTAATTTCTAGATTATTATTACCATACCACCACTACACACATCACCACCACGATCACAACCACACAACTTCAACCAACACCAACACCAACACCAAACTACAACCACCACTGCTATTTAGTTAGTGACACCACAAGAAATGTAATAACGACCGAGATATTTGGAATAGTGTGTAGCATATATTATTTAAATTACAAGTAGAAAATGAGAAGGTATTGTTGGGATAAACAAAGCCTTTAGTCAAGAGAATAGCAAATCTGCTTGAAGGTAGCCAAGTTGTCTTGGAACAAAGCAATAAAAGCATCAATGCTTCCATCTCCAATGAAGGAAGAAAAAACATCAATCCTTCTACCGGCAAAAATGCAAGCATGAAAATGTACGGACACCCAGTTCCAAAATCTAAGTCGTAGAATGGAAACCTTAGCAAGCTATCAAC